TGGCACAGGACAGAGCGGAGTTTAGGGCTATTGTACATAGGGTCGCTATGAGTTGCAAGTGACTCGACGGCACATAACAACAATAACATCGTTCTTTGAGTGAAAGTTTACAGAGCAAATGGTTTTCCATTCACTCATTCATACAGAGTTTATGATTTTAACTACAGTCCCCACATTGTGACAGCTCCCTTCTCACTTCCAGGCTGTGATTCTTGTTTCCATCCATTTCTCCTCTCCATTTCTTTCTGAACTTCCTCCTCTAGGCAAGTACAGCCCTTTGGTCTTTATTTTTTTTTTAATTTTTCAACTTCATTTTCTTTATCGATTTTTCTAGAAATTATTAAAAAATATGGGACACTTCATGAATTTGCATGTCGTCCTTGCTCAGGAGTGATGCTAATCTTCTCTGTATTGTTCCAGTTTTAGTATACGTGCTGCCACAGCGAGCACAGCCCTTCAGTCTTGTATGACTGATTGCTCTAGGAGTACCTCGGGAGCTCTCATAGTGCAGTCTAAAGCTAATTGTGCTGGTAATCCAGCAGTTAGAAGCCAGTTGTGACGCTAAGAAAGAAAAATGGACAGTTTTCTCTTATTACAATTTATAGCCTTGGAAACCCAACAGAAGGTAGCTGTGAGCTGGATGTGACTCAAAGGGTGTGAGTTGCATATTCTTGGCTAAATGTTAAGTCATTGGGTTGAGTTTAGTTTCAGGCTCAAAGAGTTACTAAGGGCCACAGTCTTGGGCAATCTTCCTGTTTCTATTAGACCAACAAGCTTGGTCTCTTTAAAGATTCTGAGTTTTGCTCCATATATTCCTCCCATTCCGTCCAGGACCTTTTGCTGTGAACCCTTTTGGAAAGGGCAGTAGTGACAGCTGGAGACAACCCAGTTTTTCTGTTTTCAGGGTAGTGGACGGTGAAATTCATGTGGTTCATTAGTGCTTTGGACTAATTGTTTTTATGTGCCTTTTATTTTCTTTGCTCTCATTTGTTCCATATAGGAAGAGATTAATATTTGTGCCTTAGACAGCAGCCTGAACGCTTTTAAGATCCACGTCACCAAGTAGGATGTTGTTAGGTGCCATTGAGTCAACTATGAATCATAAAAATGTGATGAACAGTAGAACTGAATCTTGCCCCATCCTGAACCATCCTCAGAATATCTGATTTGTTCCAGCCCATTGTTACTCTCACAGTGTCAGTCCATCTTGTTGACTGTCGTCTTCTCTTTTTCTGACCCTACACTTTTTATGTCTTCTTCTCTTTTCTCTGACCCTCTAGTATAATGTCCTTTTCCAAGGACTGACTCCTCCTGACAACACGCCCAAAGTACATGAGACTAAGTTTCCCTGTCCTTGTCTCTAAGGAGGAACCTGGTCGCACTTCCCCAAGACAGACTTGTTTGTTCTTGGTTTGTTCTTTTGGTTCAAAGAAGATTTAGTATTCTTCTCTAATGCCCTAACGCAAAGACATTCATTATTCTTCTCTTGTCCTTGTTCACTGTCTTAACTTTCTGATCCAAGTAGAATGTAGAACTTGGTTTTTATAGACTATGAGTATTGTTTTTGTAAACAATACCCAAGGGTATTGTTTGGAGACGATATGACTAATAACTCATTCCCGCAGGGTGTTTGATTATAATTAAGATGTTTATATAACTTTGTCACCTGTTGGCTGTACCAGCTATATACATGGATATATTTCCAGCATAGGCACATATTATGCAAGTAGAGCTGTCACCCGACGAACCTAGGTATGGTCAGGAGTGTAGGCTATTTACCCATCCCTCTCTGTTTGCCTTGCCTTTCTACCTGTGTATCCACTTGTATCTTAATGCTTGTTATTACTGATAGACAGGATTCTTTTTTTTTATGCAAGAACATGAGGGATTTTATTACAAGCTCTCAAGCAAGGACTCTACACACACACCCCAATGCAGTGGCCACGTGGCAGAGCCAATAGACAGGATTCTAAATAAATCTTTGCTATCTATCTCTTGAACTCTTGTATCCTCTCTGTGTCTCCTCTTTCTCTACTGATACTGTTCTAGTGATATTTTAAGATTTCATATCAATATTTTAAGAAGACTTCAGATGCTCAAGATTATTATCTATTGAGAGATGAAAAGCAAAACAACAGTGAGGTGTCATCTCACCCCAGCAACAATAACAAAGTCTGGTAAGACTATAAACAACAAATGCTAAACAGATTGTGGATAGATTGGAATTCTCATACAGTGTTAGTGGAAATTTAGAATGATGCAACACTATTTAAGGTGACTTGGCACTTCCTTAGAAAGTTGGGAATAGAAATAGGATTTGCTCCAGCAATCTCCCTACTAGATATATGTTGTTGTTGTTGTTGTTGTTGTTGTTGTTGTTATGTGCCGTCGAGTCGTTTGCGACTCATAGCGACCCTATGTACAACAGCCCTAAACCGTGCTCTATCCTGTGCCAATCTCATTGCCTCTGACAAACCCATCCCGAGTACCCCAGTCACTGAATCAATCCACCTCATAGAGGGTCTTCCCCTCCTGCGCTGTCCCTCCACTCTACCCAGCATGATGTCCCTCTCTAAAGACCTGTCTCTCCTTACAACATGTCCAAAGTTTGTCAAACGAAGCCCCAGAATCCTTGCCTCCAAGGAGCAGCCTGGTTTAATCCTCTCTACGATGAATCTGTTTGTTTTCTTGGCAGTCCATGGTATATTCAATACTCTTCTCTAGCACCACAGCTCAAAGGCGTCAATTCTCCTTCTATCCTCCCTAGTCATTGTCCAACTTTCTGATGCATAACAAGTGATTGCAAAAAATTGCTTTCATAGTCAAAAAAGGAATTTCTAGGTCCATCTTGAAGTACAACATTGTGAGTGATAGGATTATATCCATATGCTTACAAGGAAGTCCAGTGAACACTAATATCACCCAGATATATGCACCAACAACCAGAGCCAAAGAAGTACTAGATATATATCCCAGAGAAATAAGAGCTGTGACATAAGCAGACATGTGCACACCCATGCTCACTGCATCATTATTTACAGTAGCAAAAAGATGAAAACAACCCAAGTATCCGTCGGTAGATGAATGGCTAAAGAAATTAAAGTATATTCACACAAATGGAATATTATGCAACAGTACAAAATATTAAAGACTACAAGAAATACTGCATAACATGGATGAATCAAGAAGACATGTTGAGAGAAAGAAATGATGCACAAAAAGACACTGTATACAACCACTGTTAAAATAAGCTAAGAAAAGGTTTACACAGACATAAAATCATTGTTAAATTGTTACTAGGGACAGGAAGGGAGGGGAAAGGGAGTAAAAATATTAGTAAATAAGTTGGATAAAGGGAAAGGAAATAATACAATATGGGAATGATTAGAACAATATTAGAAAACAAAGAAGACAGAAAGATATAGAAAGATTAATGGAAATCAGAATTACAGGAAGGAAGTAGGAAAAGTATGAGTACATTGTGGCTATTGAAATTAATATTATAAGACAAAAAGTGTATGAATTGTCAATCAAAAATTTAAGTTTTCACTCAGATCATAATTTTTCAAAATAAGAAAAGGCTTTAGGAGATGTTGATTTAAACATTAAAAATAAATAAACTTTAAAGATTATCATTAATTTCAAGGATTCAGCCGGCCTCTATGGCTCCAGAAAGTCTGGAATCCATGATAATTTAAAATTCTATTCTACATTTACCTCCTTTTGATCAGAATTCTTCTATAGAATTTTTTATTCAAATGATGGACATGGTCTTAGTAAGCCCCCCTGATTTGAGAGGAGTTGTTACCATAATGAGCTACTGCTCCCTTCATGTTAAAGAAACAGTTGGAAGAAATGTCTGTCAAGAGTTTCCTCTTTGAAAGAAAGCTTAATCTACTCTTATTCTAGAAAATACTATTTCCTCTATATATACTTCCTCCTTATAAAGTGTAATAATAAATTGTGAATTAGTGAGTGACTTAGTGGTAAGGAGTTGTCCTGCTTACCTAAAGGATCATGGTTCGAATCCACCAGTTGTACCACAGGAGAAAGATGGACAATCTCCTCCTGTGCCATTCCTTCCATGCCTCTGAAAACCTGCTGGAGGTTCACCTATTAATTGGTTCCAACTCAGCAGTAATTAACAACAATATGTCAAGGGCATAATAGTGATTTTTTTCTTTTGAAAACACACAAATCTCTTACAACCCCAAATGCTTTTCCCCTAATGTAGAGCTAGGCAATTGGATGTTACAGGGATTGGTCAGATGAGGTGAAATGCTATGCAGGATCTGATTTCTCATTAAGAACAAACTTTTGCTGTTGATGAAAATTCTTGGGTTTATAACTACAGAGTGCCAGATATATTATACAGGAAATGGTGATCCCGTATGTGTCAGAGTCAAACTGGGCTCTGGAGGGTTTTTGATGGCTGATTTTTTCTTCCCCTTTCAGGCCTCTCTTCTGAGGCACCTCTGCATTTATTCAAACTACCACCCCTTTGAGGAGCAGCAGGGCACCCACCCAGTAGCTCTGAAAGGAAGGTAGAGCAGCACATATGGACACCTGAGGATGTTCTTAAAATACAGATTCTTATTCAGTAGGTCTAGGCTGGTCTTAGGCTAGTCTGCCCCTCTAATAAGACCTCTGGAGTCCAGTGTGGTGTGCTCAGCAGCTCACTGAAGGGTGCAAGGTTCAGATCCACCCAGATTCATCTTGGAAGAAAGACCATGGTAATTACTTCTAAAAAGTGATTGAAAACCCTAATTTTTGCTCTCACGTACATAGGGTTGCCATGATTCAAGGTTAACTCCTTAGTAACTGGCCTTCTGGCTTAACATGCTTCATGCAGCTGCCAATCTGTCAAACACATTTTGAGACCCTACCAGTCATGTCCAGAGGCAGTGCATGAGAGTGATTCTTGCACCCACCCGTGACTAACCTTGGCTGCTAACCCCCTCTTCTAGCCTTGGAATGACTGTGTACATCTTGATATTTAGGTTTGTCCACCCCCGTTTTGGACCCATCAAGTGCATCCGCACTCTTCACGCTGTGGAGGCTGACGAGGAGCTCACTGTTGCCTATGGCTATGACCACAGCCCCCCAGGGAAGAGTGGGCCTGAAGCCCCCGAGTGGTACCAGGTGGAGCTGAAGGCCTTCCAGGCCACCCAGCAGAAGTGAAAGGCCTGGTGGCTCTTGGGTTCAGAGACCTGGAGTGGAAACTTGGATCTATGCACTACGTTTATCCGACAATGGGACAACCAGGGACGGCTCATGCTGTGACATCACATCCTCTCACCCTGCGTTAGCAACGACTTTCTTGCATACTAACTAGGTTTGACTGTATTATTCATACCAGATTTAAAATTAGCTAGCCTTGCACCAACATCCTACTGAGAGGTAGTGTCGAGCATTTGACATAAGACAGCATGATGTTCTTTGGTGGTTCAAGTCGAAATCTGTACCACATTCAGAGATGCCAAATGATTAGACTGAAAAAGGGAAATGGGGCTTTTCAGTCATTTTTAGTCAGTGGTTTTTCCATGATGTCTTTTGGGTTTGTGTTGGGTTTTTATTTTTTCCCTATGGCCGGTGCAAATCGTGTTATTACACTTGCATAGTTGCCATATAAAGAGTAGAGAATTACTACATTTTTATATTCTCTCAATGTAGTATAATTTGCCTTTTAACCTTTGATCTGTATCTTGCAATAGAATGGCTTTTTTGGTTTTTTCCTAGTAAGCAGAAACCTACTTTTTAGACTCATTTCACCCCTATCACTTAACTCTTACACGAGAAAACTTTCCAAATGGATTTGTGTCAGTGGCAGTGTGTAGGTCTCTCTGGCTCTTTCTAGATCATTCTTTCATTACTGTTGTCCTAATATAAAAAACTGGCTCATAGTGCCAGAGTATTATTACAGAATTATTATTCTCGCATGTAAACAAAGATATCTTTGCTTTAAGATGTGAGAAGAAATGAGTTTACTTTGCATTAAGTTATGGCAGAGTTGTAATATATATATTTTCAGAAAGAGGGAAATTAATATTTCTAAGCAGTAATTCTGGCAATTTTGCATTATCTTCAATAGTGCTAAGTGATTTTTCTCCTTGGGTACACATTAAATGTACATAGCCTAGAGCAGTCTGGCTTATGCCATAGTGCATTGAATTCAAAAGTCAAATAGCTAATTTGAATTCTAACAGAATTTAAAGTCAGGGGTTTTTTTCTTCCTTTAAATGAATACTGTTAAGGCAGGCATACTGATCACTAGATACAAACCAAACCCTAAAGCTAAAACTCTTCTTTATTGTAATTTCACTTACCTGCTTCAGTGCATTGTAAATTAAGAGTCACACCTGTATAGTTCAAAAGCTACAATATCAATAGCATTTCAGCCATTAGCAAGCCATATATAACCACAACTGCAGAAATAAGAAAACCAAGTTTTTAGTTTAGCTAATTAGATCTGTAACATACCTGAGATCGCTCTGAATGAATTCTACTTTGGAGGCTTTTTTATAAAGTGCTCTCACCACATGCTAAGGAGCCCTGGTGGCACAGTGGTTAAGTACTCTGCTGCGAGGTCAGTGAGTGGAACCCACCATCCACTCCTCTGAAGAAAGACAAGGCAGTCTGCTTCTGTAAAGGTGTGCCACCCTGGAAACCCTCTAGACAGCCCTTCTCTGCCCCATAGACTCCCTGTGCATCTGACTCAACCTGACAGCAAATGGTTTTACTTGGTCAGCTCATGCCATAGCTGTCCCTTCTCTAGATGCCCAGAAGTGGACAGTGGCTAAGCCTGTAACAGCAGTTGCTCAGACCTGCTGCATGAGTCAGTTTTTGTCTTGAAAGCTAATGGCTTCCAGATAGCAACAGGTAAGGAACTGATTGGTTAGAAAAGGCTTACTGGGAGTGGGTGAGGAGTGAACACACTGGCAGAAGGAAGCTTCTAGCACTCTTAGGAAGAATTTAATAAGAAGTGCTTCATCCAGAGGTGCTCTGAACATGTTCCTTTCAGGAGGCACCTGGATCTAAGGGCATCGAAGCCCCTCTGAAAGGGACAGAAATGACCCTTCCCTTAGGAATGCAAGCTTCCCCAAATGCCTGTGGTTCCGCAGAAGCACACAGCCCAACATGCTTTCAGCCAGGTGGCTGCAGTTTCAGGGAGTCCAGTTAGATTCCTATTTGAAAGCTCAAAGAGATGCTTTTTACACATGAGAATGCATTGTCAGGGCTGCCAGAGAGATCTGCCACAATGGGAACAGAATACCTTTTTTTTTTTTTTAATTTAAAAAATAACATTAAATTTCAAATACACCAGGATAGGATTGCTTCTATTCTGAAGGAAGATACCATTCTGTAAACCATGACAGATGGGCAGTTTCTACACATGTATTCTGCCAGGTGCTTTAATCCATACATATCCCAAAGTGAGTGACTGTGGCCAGGAGGAAGATGATAATCCTTGTCAGTGAGTGCAGAGTGGCGCCAGGGCAGGAGAGGACACTGCAGGCTGCGCCACCCATGCGTCTGTGCTCTCCACGAGGTGCACTGAAGCCTCATTCCTCTCCTGACCATTTCATGCAACGGCATTTCCAAATTTCTTTTTTTAATAAAAGATTGAAGGGCTTTAAATAGTGATTAATCAGCTAATCAATTTTTCAAATTAGATATTAGGTAAGAACATTTTGAGTCAGACGTATCAAAGAGAAGAGACACCCACTCTCTGTCTCTCTATTCCTCTTCCTACTCTGCATACTTCCTTGTCTCCCCTGGCTCTTCAAATTCCCTGTATTATCTCCTTCCTCTTTTTCCATTCACGTGGGGAAAACCAAGGTGTCTGTAGCAGCAGCCCATTATTGGTCTCTCCTGTTCTCTTTCCCTCTCTCCCTCTCCATTCTAATCGCTCCTGTTCCCTTGTTACTATCTCTGTATACCTCTCTGTGACTGCCCTCCCTCTGTAAGTATCTCTCTCCATTTCCTCAGTATTTCTGAATGCTCTGTCCTGCTCTTCCTATCCCATATACATACATTCCCAAGTGTAAGGGGTTTTGGTTAATTTTTTTTTTCCTCAAGGTGAAATGGGAGCCTCACAGAATTCTGTATGTAGATAGGAGTCCCTGAGTGGCACTAATGATTAATATTCTGGGCTGCTAACCGAAAAGTTGATGTCTTCAGGCTACCCAGAGGTACCTTAGAAGAAAGCCCTGGCAAACTATTTCCAAAAAATCAGCCACTAAAAATCCTTTGGAGCAGAGTTCTGCTGAGACAGCCATACATAGGGTTGCAATGAGTGAAAATCAACCCAACAGCCCTAGTGTGGTCATAGTTTTTGGTATGTGGGTAAAGTTGAGAGAGTTGAGATTCCTTAGGAATTAATGAGGAAGTAAACAGTGGTAAGGTTTATTCTTTGTTTCAACCAGAGTATGAAGGGAAAAGCCTCAAAGGTGATTTTTCTGCTGACTCTTTCAATCCACTTTGGAAGGAAGTAAGTCCAGAAAGCAGCTGGGTCTGGTAGTTTTATCAGCATCCTAACCACAGTGGAAACGTGGGTGAATACATGTGGTGTGGTGTAAAGAAAGGGCTTCATGCTCTCCCCAAAAGCAGCTGGCACCCGTGTGCGCTGCACTGCAAAAGTCTCCAGGAGCTTCCCTCAGAGCCCTCTCAGCGCAACCCTTGCATGACTATATCCTTCCTTAGCATCTTTTCTATGATGAAATACTATCTTGTGTTAGAGTTAGGAATAGGAACTAATCTGTAAGAGTATGTCCCCAAATGGACATCTGAATGGACTAATAAAAGCAAGTGTAAGGATTGAATTTCCAACACAAAGGAATTATGACATCAAAGCAAACAGATGAAGACCACTTGGGTTTTGTAGTACCTATTCTTATTTTGACCTGCTTCATCCCTGGCCAGTCCAAGAAACCATGAAGGAAATCAGTTTTTCAAGACCTCTTGGAATTTGTCTGAGGCTGTAGTTAAACCTATTGGTCCTCTAGGGATTCTTCACACTTGAAAAAATGGTTTCTTTGTCACCAACAACCTGAAAAGGCCAAGAATAACCATTGACAAGACTTAGTTGTCACTCTTGAAGTTTACACTGTGAACAGTCTAAAGGGTTCTCTTCTCAGTGAGACAGGATATGGCACTTCAGTAAGTTTCACATAGTAGCTAAGATTTTAAGTCACTCACTGCAAAATGCATTTTAAAATCTTCCCAAGAGGTAGAGGTACAGCTTTCTGTTTTGCTTTGTTTTAAAACAGTTGCCTAAAGTTTCTGTCTTAGTGATTTAGAAACCAGACATCTATTAAAAGAATGCATTTTTGTTTTTGAAATTACAAGCAAAACTGTGTTGCAAGAATGGTAGTTGTAATGTTTATTTGCCACAGATCAAAGGTTCACAAAATTTCCATTTACATGAGGTACCTTGATAGATCATTTTTTCCTTTGGGTTTCTCCCTTTAGGAATTTGGAACTTTAAATGTCTTTTTTTTTCCAATTTTAAAAATACTAAATTTTAATAGTTTTCTTTTGCCAAGTATGTGCATACTTATTCAAAGCAATGAAACTGTTTCAAGCCATACAACCACAGGGGTGGAAACCCTTTTCACAAATTTTAATGTGTTTGTATGTAAATAGATGTTTGTATGAAATATGAAATATTTTCATGGTAGAATGAATATATTTAAATGAAGTTGAACTATTCCAGTGCTATTTAAACAAATTACAGAAATTTTGGTGAAAATTATGGGTCTATTGAGATATACTGCAGATCAATTTTGATTTTTAGGAATCAAAAAAAGCCTACAAAATAACTCTGCCTCGTGGCAACTTCGCTCGCGCTGTTGCATCTGATGCGGAAAGAGCTCCGTAGGCTTCCCCAGTGCCTCCGCCGCTTCCTGGTGGTAAGTTCGGTGCTAACGGAGGTGTGTTCACCTTTCAGTGATACCACTGCGGGTCTTCCACGGGGCCCAAAGTGAATCCGAGGCATTAGAGACACCGGTGCAGTTAATCTGGAGCACAATTTCTTTGCAGGGCAGCAGAATCAGAAGCCAGACTTGGCCGTGGAAACCTCGGGACTGGGTTTCCTGGCCGCCCTCCACCGCCACCTTTACTGCCTAGTCACACTTGTCAGGGAGGCTGCCCTCTGTGGAGTTGGGGTCAGACCCCAGGGT